CACAATATAACACAGTTGCTACTTATGGAAAGCAACATATAAGAATGGAAGGCAGTTGACAGAATTTGGCACAGAGACTAAGGAAGCCATTCTTCTTCACTGATTCTATCAACTTGTGTGATGTCTTCATGGAACAACATTTTACCATGGGTTGGTGGGGATGTCCCTGGTGCCAAGAAGCAGTCTGTTCCTCTTGCTTCTCCTGTGACTCCACCTTTGCCCATGCCCAGCCCTCATCACCCTCAGATGTTCCTTGGTGTTTGCCTTACACTCCTGACCTTTCTTTCCCATGCTTTTCAGACTAGTGGAAACCCTGATTATAGAAAAATATGACACTGTGGCATTTTTTAACCAGTACCTTGGCAGTTTTCTCAAATTATTTATACCCTTCTAAAAGGTATTATATTCTATCAGTGCTTTCCAGTCTAAAAACCAAATTGAAATTTTTGATTTATATGTTCTTCATAACAGTGGTATTGAAGCAGAAGTCACGGACAGCAGGAAAGTGTATTAGCTTAATGGCATTTTCTTTCTAAGACTGAGTTTGGAGGAGAAAGATAAACCTAGAGCTATTTCAAGTTCAGAGGAATTTCATTGTCGCTGGTATCAGTGATACAAATCCTATTATTACTGGTGTCTAAAGATACAAATAGCAGTATAGTTTTAATTTTTATCCTAGGACTATGCCTTCAATTTTTCCTCTTATTATAATTTAATATGAGTGATTTAGCCATATTATAACAAATAAAGAAGGCAGAAGCATGCATCGTCTCATAAGCCACAGGCTCTTGCAAGTGGTGATATTCATCAGCTTGAACTGGAACTGTGATTCACATCCCTGTCATGTGGAGCATTACTGTAACAAAAGTAATGGGCTTCAAATGTGAATTTACTCGCTTTCTTTCCTTTCCCACCAGTAATATAAAACTGTTAATGTCTTCCATTAACATAATTGTTTTCTCTCACAAATGTTAATGAAAATAATGTCTTGAAATTATAGACCAACCAAATCTCATTGACTTCCATTTTATTTGATAAAACAAAACTTACTTTAAGATACTGTAAAAGTTTTAATTAGGATTATGTTGAAGGCATAAATATTTGATGGCACACATATTCAGACAAAACCAAAAGCATATATGTTCACAGTCAGCCCTTTTTATCTGCAGGTTCTGCAGCCATGGACTCAACCAACTGTGAATAGAAATTTTCAGAATAAAAGTTGCATCTATATTGAACCTATACAGACATTTTTCTTGTCTTTGTTCTCTAAACAATGTAACAATTATTTGCATAATACTTGCATCAAATTAGTAATTCATCTCTATTTTAAGTCAAAGATGATTTAAAGTATGTAGGGGAGGTACATAGGTTCTATGCAAATATCATGATATTTTATATAAAAAGCTTAAGCCCCTAGGAATTTTGGTATCTGTGGATGGTCCTGGAACCAATTCCCATGGATACAAAAAATAAAATTGTATTTATACTAATTAAATTCTCAGTTAATGCTTGGCATAAAATTATAAAGTCCACTGGCCAAAATTATTATTTGATCTATTTCCAATATGACATTAAAGTACCTGCCATCCCTATTAAACTTCCCAGTGCAAAAAGAAAAAAAAAGTAATCATACTCAGACAAAAACCACTACCCCATTTGTAAAATATGGATCTCAGATGATTTGTGAGATGTTAATATAATGAGATGGAACTCAAGGTATAACTAAAACAAGACCTACTTTTTCAGTAATCACCATTGCCATACCATAATAGCTGAACTACAACCAGGTGCAATGGCACACACATGCCTATATTCCCAGCTGAGGGAAACTGAGGCAAGAAGATTGTAAGTTCAAGACCAGCCTGGACAACTTAGTGAGACCCTATCTCAAAATAAAAAATAAAAAGGTCTGGGTATGTATCTCAGTAGTAGAATACCTCTGAATTCAATCTCTAGTACTAAGAAGAAGGGAAGGGAAGGAGGAAGAAATTATATACAACTTTCAAATGTGGAACTCAGACCAATTTCAGCACAAAATGTTAAACAGAATTTCAAAGATGACAGCACTTAAAAATTAGATACATTGAAGAAGATAATTATCTTTTCCTAGTAACAAAAGCTATTAGAATCTTGAACATGTTTCCTCAGCATAGTCCCTCCATGACAAAGTTTGTCACTGACATTCTATCAAGACTCTAAAGACTTCCCCTTCTAGCTGGGCTCAGTGCAGGTCCTGCATCCTCTGAAACACATTCTCCAATTCTCCAACACTCTCTAACAAAACCCCACTGTAAATTCTTGAAGTTTCCTATACTAGTAGTCTTTTTATATCAGAGAAACTAAGGGACCAATAGAACATTGTACTTTTTTTTCTTTTGGTACCAGGGATTGAACCCAGGGGCGCTGCCACTGAGCCACATTCCAGCCCTTTTTGTATTTTATTTAGAGACAGGGTCTCCTTGAGTTTCATAGGGCCTCACCAAGTTGCTGAGGCTGGCTTTCGACTCAAGATCTTCCTGCCTCAGCCTCCTGAGCCACTGGGATTACAGGCATGAGCCACAGCTCCTGGCAGAGCATTGTACTGATTTGAATCCCCAGCCATATTACAGTGACTTGCACATAATTATGTACTCAGTAAATATTTTATAATTCTAAAACATAGGTAGAAATTAAAGATGACTTTGTCAGGTGTATGTGTGATTATGAAGTTAGCAATGATCAAGAAAGAATGACACAAATTTAATACTGGATTGACAGGTTAAAATTTCTCTAGCATTTTTCCAACAGACTGATGGACCCAGGATTACAATCCAAATATCATTAATTTATTATTTTGTTAAGAGTATACTTAATGGACCATAACATTTCCTCACAAATTCTCCCATCTCTTTGCCAATGCACCTAAATAAATTGATCTAAAAATATGCACATTCTTATAGTTGTTGCTTCCCAAAATTTGCTGAAAGGTATTTATCATCTAATATTGACTTTTCTTTATATCTAATGTCCAGGTGTTTTGTGTAAAGGACATTAATTATGTTTTAATATAATTAATTATGTTATGTGCATAAAACAATAGGGACCAATAGATTCAACAAAGACTTCTTCAGCTGATCATGATTGCTTATGCTTTAATCTCAAAATAGATTCTGCTGAAATCCTCTGGTCCTAGTGCCACTACACTGTTTGGAAATATATTGAGAAGCACATTCCGATAAATGTGGATATCTGTTTGCAATTCTTGGGTAGTAGTAACTGATGGTTATGGTGATACGTGTGACGGCACTGATGATGGTGACCTTGGAGTACTGCTTTAAGACAGTGCATCACTGCTCAGTATGTAGCTACCGCATCCAAACAGAATGTATGGGACTGCCATTCAGGATATTTTCTGATATTGTTGTATAGCAGGTCACTCAGAAAACACACCAAGTCCCAGTTTTGTTTAAATCAAAGAGTCTTTATTCTGACCAGCCTGGACTGCTTCCCTCTGGAGCAAGTTGTCTCTCCAGAAAACAGCCTGAAGCTTCAACATTTTAGGTATTGAAAGGCAAAAACCACATCCAGGTTGTACAATTGTTACCAACATCCACCTCCAGAGCATTTTTTATCTTGTAAAACTGAAACTGTACACACATTCTACAACTACTCCTCCTTTTCACTTCCCTTAGGCCCTGACAACTACCATTCCATTTTCTGTCTCTAAGTCCCTCATCTGAGTGGGACTTTGACTTTTTGTGACTGGCTTAGTTCACTTACCACAATGTCCTCAAGGTTCATTCATGTTGTAGCATATGTCAGAATTTCTTTCCCTTTTTAAGTCTGAATAAAATCCCATTATGTGTACAAGCCACATTTTGCTTATCCATTTATCTATGGATGAACACTTGGCATGATTTCCCTATTTTCGCCACTGAGATGGTTAGAAGTGGAGTTACAGAGTCAACACAGGAAAAGACAGGACTGAGCTTGAGGAAGCCAGCTGTCAAAGATAGAGAAGGACAAGAAGAAGAAACTGAGAATGCAATTCTGGGGGTGGGAGGAAGTCATGAAAACTAGAGGAAGATAGTTTTTCAGGGAGAAATAGTCCCAATGTTAAATGCTGTTAAGACTGCAAAGAAAAGAAGCTAAAGATGCCCACAAGATTTGATAGCATGGTGGTCACTGGTGACCTCCAGAATTTTGACGTCTGCTTGGTAACCCTTCATAACAATCAAAGGTTCCTTGAACAGAGCTCTCCACCCTCCTGTAATGCTTCTTGCTTTTCTCCAATAAATATTTACTATGTAGTGAACATAGTGAACTCAGATGACACACTTGAAGCCTTATAAAGGTACTTATAGTGTTTGAGGGATGTGATGAAACTATTCTGTATCCTTGTGGTTTCACGAATTTATAGATGTATTAAAACTCATAGAACTTTACACCTCACAAGAACCTATTTTATTGTGTATTTAAAACTAAAAAGAAATATTAATGGTAAAGGTTTTTCTTATATATGGTTGTGAGGTCTTGGATGTTTATTGTAAAATGATTTTTCAAGTCTTATATGTATCTTCTAAATAGTCCTTGAATTTATATAAGAATTTTTTGGTGGGCGGGGTGCTGGGGATTGAACTCAGGGGCATTCAACCACTGAGCCACATCCCCAGCCCTATTTTGTATTTTATTTAGAGACAGGGTCTCACTGAGTTGCTTAGCGCCTCACTAAGTTGCTGAGGCTGGCTTTGAACTCGTGATCCTCCTGCGGCAACCTCCAGAGCCACTGGGATTACAGGCATGTGCTGCAGTGCCCGGCAGCTTTACACAAGATTTTTAAAAACTTGAATATTGAATAAAAGCAAGTAAAGTTTTAAATTAGGAACTTACAAGAAATAACCAACAATGTAGAAGGAAATATATGGAGATATATGTGTAAATATATGGAGATATATGTCAATATAGAAATATTTAAAAGACAGTAATAAAAAATTCTATTTATCTCATTTTTTTAACAGATAGGAATGGGTCATTTGCATGTAACAAATGATGGACTTCGCCTGGAAGGAGAATCAGAATTTTTATTACCATTATATGCCAAAGAAATACGCTCCAGAGTGGTAAGAAAATGATGAAAGATTTAAATAATTTGTTCTTTGTGAAAAATAAATAATGATTAAGTATTCAGTATTGATGGAAGAAATTTTTAAAAAGCATACATGTCCATACATTCATGGTCTTCTCTTTATTTAAAAAAATAAAAAAACTTGGCTATTAGGTTGTGGAACTCATCTCTGATATCATATTCTATAAAGATTTTATATTCATGTGCTTTGGATCTGAATGTGATGACCTCAGTAATTTAGGCCATAATTAACTAAAGATCTTAGAAATGAACATTTTTACCAAACACCATTTAAGCTTTAATCAATGCAATTTCAGGGCATTCAAATTATCTTAGAGAAATTAGTTCCATAGTAGTATGTTCTGCATTAGTTATTCTAATTACAGATTAAGATCTCACAGAATTATCCATAATCAGGTGCAACATCATTATTAAATAATTGTGTGACTTTAAAAGTAAATCAAGCTGGGTACAGTGGTGCAAGCCTGTAATCCCAGTGGCTCAGGAACTGAGGCAGGAAGATCACAAGTTCAAAGCCAGCCTCAGCAACTGTGAGGTACTAAGCAACTCAGGGAGATCCTATCTCTACATAAAATACAAAATAGGGCTGGGGATATGGCTCAGTGGTTGAGTGCCCGTGAGTTCAATCTCTAGTACCCGCCCCCCCAAAAAATAAAAGTGAATCAAAATTTTCTTTATTCACCTCCAACGAATTCATAAAGAGGAGAGTCAAAAATAAAATACAAAAAAGTCAAATGATTTTTGTAATATGTTCTATTTTTTCTTCTGTTAGACCATAAACTGTGTAGTAAACATAATCATTTTGATGATAGGTTATTGATAAATGATACTGTTTGAAGAGTACAGCCTTCCTTTTCCTTCTGTATTTCTAAATGTGAATGGATATTTTGGTATCTCCTGCCTGCAGAGGCTATACAGCTGCTATAGAGAAATTAGAAAATAACAGAATTACTGTTAAGAAACAGCAGATCTCGCTGAGAAAAAAACACTCCTAATGTAGACACTGGACCCTTTACCCAGCTCTTACTATCAGCTATAGTAGTAGATACAGCATAAAACTTACATTTAAATACCAGAAAGATGAGATACCAGAGAATGCAAAGCATCTAAGTTGTTTTATGCAGTACTATACTGTATCACTTCTAGAAATGTCTTTTTGGAGGTAGGAGTAGACAAATGATACATGCATAAGTCTGATTCTGTGAGCTTATTCTGGCAATACAATTAATCAGATGACATTTCAGGGTGTTATAGCCCTGTCATAAAGGAACGTGGAAAATTAAATCGACATAAATAAAGAATTCAAATATTAGAACATATCCTTTTCTCTTCCATATTTTGGAAGAGATGGGACTGGTAAAATAACCTGATGATAGATATCAGGTGACTAAATCAGAGTGAATGTAATATTCTGGAATTAATAACTTTCAGTAATATTTTATCAGACTTTTTCATCTCCGGTACACTTTGAAAAAAAAAAGCAGGGAGCAAAATTGCAAAAATATTTCAGATAAGCACATATTAAAGTCTCATAATGTGGCATTAATGGATATGTCAATCAACACATAAAATTACAGGAACAATTTGAATAGTATGTGATAACAAAGCTGTACAGAATTATGTAACTAATCTGACCTTCCAACAGTAGCAGCCACCAAACAAAACTGTGCCTCACCACTTCTGTATGCACTGATATGTTAGTTTTCTTTTCAAAGGTAAGTCTAGAAAGTAATTTTACATAAAATTATAGAACATAAATTACTTTATAAACTTGCAAAATTTGCCACATAATTCACTTATCTACAATGCTGGACTAAAAGAATTTCTTCATTATAAATATAAATCAGCATGGTGCTCTGATCTCTAATGTCTGATTATTCAATAACTCCTTGAAAACAATACTGAAATAATGCCTTAAATCCACTCACTCTGCCCATTAACCCAAATACATAAAAATTATTTCTGATAAGACAAAAAGGCTTTATAGGTTTAATATCCCTTAATCTAAATTCTAATAACCAGAGTGTTTGGGATTTGGGTTTTTTAAAAAATATTTTGAAATATTTGCCTAAACATAATGAACTATCCTGGGGATAGGACCCAAGTCTAAACATGAAATTTCATTTATACTTTATATACACTTTATACACATAGCCAGAAGGTAATTTATGTAATATTTGTAGTGCACCTGAATTTTAACTGTAACCCATCATATGAGATCAGGTGTGGAATTTTCCACTTGTAGCATCATATTGATGCTCAAAAAATTGCAAATTTTGGAGCACTTTGGGTGTTGGATTTTCAAATTAGCACTGCTCAACCTATATTTAAAAACATACTATGAACAAACAGAAATGAGACAGAACTATCTGGAGTTTTAGTCAGCTTTTTCCTCACTCTGAACAAAATGCCCAACAAGAACAAATTAGAGGAAGAAAAGTTTATTTTGGCTCATGATTTCAGAGGTTCAGTCCACTGTCAACTGACCCCATAGCTCTGGGCCCTTGTGAGGCAGAACATCATGGCAGAGGGGCATGGCAGGGGAAAGCAGCTCAGGACATGGCAGCCAGGAAGCAGAGAGGGAGAGAGTTCCCCTCACCAGGGACATGCTCCCAGTGACCCACCTCCTCCAGCAACACCCTACCTGCCTACAGTTACGGCCCTGTTAATCCGTATCAGATTTACACAACAATTATATTATCTCATAACCTAATCATTTCACATCTAAGAATTCTTCCATTTGAAATTTGGGGGAACATCTCATAACCAAACCATAACACCTGGTGATAACGTTTTACTCAAAATAATTATCTTTGAGATTCACAGTCCTGAAAAGAAGCAGGTAACCTACAGCCAAAGCCCACAGAATAACAAGAATCAAAATGTCACCTACATGGATGAGACTCCAGCCAGACCACTGCATGAGACAGTGAGGAAGGCAGAAAACAGCTGTAACTACTGCCTGTCCCCCTTGAATAAAGCTGCACACCTGTGGGGAGGAGGCCATAAAGACGCAAGGCCAGGACTGGAATGTCACTGAGGACCGAAGCCCAAAGCCACTATTGTAAGACTGAGAGACCTTGGGATCCAAACAGAAATACAGGATACTCAGCCAATAGTGGCATAAACTAGCAAAAGTTTTTCTATTCTTACTTAACAAGAAGCAGGAGGGGCAAGGTCAGCACTGGTTCAGAACTCAGCAAAGGTTGGCTCCAGCATCTTTGCCATCCTCTGCTTCCCTCCGCCCCTTCACTAGACGACTGCTAGACCATATCCACGGCCCATGGCAGAGCAACGGGCCATATTGGTGCCTGTGTGCCTTCCATTAGAAAGCAAGAGCTTGCCTAGAAACTCCCTGCCCTGCCCTCAGCAGACTGCAGCTCACATCTCATTGACCAGAGTTGTCACTTGGCTACCCTTAGCTATAGGACAGGATGGGCAAACAAGCATTTAGCTTCCCTGCCTTCACAGTAGAAGGCAGTCCTTTTCTAGTAAAAGAGATGGAGAGTGCCTGTTGGCTCAAACGACCCAAAGTGAACCCAAAAGAGCCGAATTTGTATAGACAAGGGAATGAATCTTACAGCTCTAACCTGCTCTCCCATCCAACAGAAAGGTACAAAAGGGGCTGGGCGGTGGCATCTAAAGATTGCATTCCATCACGGAATTGTCATTGCCAGGTATAACTTTGGATGAGCAGTAATTTACTCTGTCTGAACTCAATTACCTCATTTCTATAATAGGTACCTACTTCATAACGTAGAAGATGAAATGAGGGAATCCCAGCTAAAACTATTGGTAAAAGTGTTAACTCTTCTAATCATGATAGTTATTTTCTAACAATGCAAAAACAAGTATTGAGGTCACATCACTGGGCAAAATGAACATCACTTGAAAGATCACATAATTCCCTATTCTTTGGGAGGACATTCAGTTCTTCTGCATGAAACATTAACCCCTGAGTCCCACAGTCAGATTACTGCAGTCCTGTTGAAAGCAATTATTTATATAAATGCAAGATCATCTACATAACAGAGGCAATCATTCAAAATTATGATAACCCAGAAAACACTTACTTGCTCATGACTTTAATTCCCAACAAAAAGTTCAGATAACAAAGACACCCAACAAATTGTTAAAACTTTTTTAGAATTAAATTTATTTTTAACTGACACATAAAACCATAAAAATTATTTATATTAATATAGTACTGCGTGATGTTTTGATATATGTATACATTAGGTAATGTTTAAATCAGGTTAAAAGGGGAAATATTAGATAATTATACTTGCCAAATTATACTGGTATATTACCTGCATGTACAAATATGTAACAGCAAATCCCACCACTATGTACAATTATAATGCACCAATAAAAAAAATTTAAAATAAGAAGCAAAAATAAAAATAAATAAATAAATCAGCTTAAATGTAACTATCTCCTCAAATGTTCATCTTTTCTTTAAGGTAACAACATTCAAAGTTATTTCTCCCAGCCTTTTTAAATGGATAGTATTTTTGTTATCTATAGTCACCCTATTGTTATTTATAGCCACCCTACTGTGCAATAGCACCCCAGAATTTCTTATGCCTAATTCTAACCTGATACCCATCAATCAGGCTCTCCTCATTCACCCACCTTCCTATTATCTAATTTCTCTCCTTAAAATACGTCTTCTTTGGTCATAAATAACAGCAAAAGAATTCGAATTCCTTGGAAAAGAAAAAGCAATAATTTGAACTTGATCATATCAGGCATTTATCTTGAAAACTGATTGGCACGTTGTAAACAGTATGCATAGCATTACAAACCCATAAAATTGTTATAGTTTATACATTTATTTCTTTAACATAATGTAATCCAGGATTTTTCACGGTTTTAGCCAAAAATTTATAGAGTTCTAGGATCTGTGGCAATGGAGAAATTTTATATAACTCTGGCTTTTTCTACAGATATGAAGATATGATATATTTAGCTGATTTGGTAAATCTCTTTCTAGGACTCATCTCTGCTTCTGCAGTCAACTCAGAATGTTACCGTCAATGCACGCAACTCAGAAGGGGAGGTCACAGGCAGGTTGAAAGTGGGTGAGTCCAACTTCCTCTCAGCACTTTGTATGCATGAGGTCCATGAGCAGTGCTACACAGATAAATTAATTTTTATTCTAAGGAATTCAAAGCTTATTTATGAGTAAGAAATCATAAATTTTCTAAATTATATAATGTGTTGACCACAGAGAATGGTTAATACCAAAGGAAGGGGTAAAGAAGCTGGAAGCACAGTATGAAATGCTTTAATCCAAATTGTTTTGTTTCCAAGAAATAGAAGACCTTTCAACTGAGTGAAAGGAAGAGAATATTTATTATAGCGCATGCGCATACACACACCTCTTAGTGACCAAAGTAAAAGAACTAAAGTAGCTGTTCTCAAGAGAACAGAACCAGAGCTGAGTGCCAAAAGCATATACATCATCTCCTCCTCCTTTCTTCATATGTCACTCTTTCCATTTTTCTCACTTCTCTCTCTCTCTCCTTCTACCCATATGCTCCATTCTCCTCCTTTCCAGGGTATCTCCACCCATCAGTTCCTTTCGGGTATATGGCTGCATCACTTCTGTCTCTACTGATCCTGCAGGGCCTCCCTGGTTCTGTTGTTCTCAGCATCAACCACTGTCATCTCAAATTATACAAATTCTAAAATGTCAACAAAGTCCCCTAATTAACCCAATTCAATCATTCAACCAATGGCCTTTGGGTCAGCTATGCACACCTATCCAATCAACTAATGACATAGAATAAGGTTCCCTAGGAATGAGGTCACATGGAAGCTGGCAGAAGGAGAAAAGGACCAGCAAGAAAGAATATGCACTTAACCCTCTTTATCTGTAGGTTCCTCATCCTCAGATTCAACCAACCACAAATGGAAATCAATTTTTTAATTGTATCTATTCTGAACATGTATAAACTTTATTTTCTCATTATTTTCTAAACAATATACTATAGCAACTATTTTCATGGCATTTACATTGTATTCGGTATCCTAAGTCATAAGAATGATTTAAAGCATAGAGAAATATTGGGAGTTATATGCAGATACTGTGCTATTTTATATAAGGAACTTAAGCACCTGTGGATTTGGGCATCTATGGGGATCCTCATGGATTTTGAGAAGCAACTGTAGGTGACAGAAATAACAAAAGAGCTGGTGGAAAGAATGCATGTCATTCTCTATACCTCAATCCTATACAGATCTGTTGAATCTAGGAAACTGGATTGCCCTTGTGATTATCGGGAGAGAGATAAAAGGTGCACTGCCAATGCAAGCTGATAACTTCCATTGCACTGTAAACAGCATACATTAACCAGATGATGACTTTTATTATACTGATACAAGGTGTTCCATTTTTTATATTGTTTTAATTTTTATAGCATATTCTGAATAATGAATTCCATTTTTCTTTCACTTAAAAATGAAACATTTGATCACTCAGTCCAGTGAAATTTCCAGTTGCTCTAGAAATGGACCTGAGTTGACCTAACATCCATATTCTTGAAACTTGGGATATCAAATTCTATTTTCCTAATGAGTTATACAGTATTACAATTTTTATCATTTCTTTAAAATCCTTAGCTGCCTAGATTTTAAATGTTTGTGGGGGGTTTTGCTAATTTTTCACATTCATACAAAACGCATATTGAATGCCTGTGTACGTTTCTATATGCTGTTTTATCATAACATATGAAGAATATGCAATTATTACTTAGAAGCACCAAAAGTAGAATTATTTACTCTTGTAAAACTTAATTTGCATAAATACTCATTTGCTTATTTATCTTTTTGTTAAATATGGGTTTACATGTAGCAAACAAAGAGCTCAGAAATAATGCAAACATGCCTCTCATTTCATAGGTAGACAAATGCAAGTACTGAAAAGCTAATTTTTTCAAGAACACATAGCCACTTAATTGAAAAGTCAAAACAGGAATGACCCAAGAAGTGCTTCTCTCAGCTGGCTGTTTCCACTAGTCCTCCTGCCCATCAATTTCCTGAAATTACATGTCAGTAACTATTCTATTGGTTGCAAACATAGTTTCCACTTCTGTCACCAAGGAATGACTAGGTGTTATACAGTTGTTGTTGTTGTTGTTTTTAAGTTACCCATTGAAATTACTTTGGTCAAAAATTTAAACCTCAAATCTTTAGTTTTAAACTCATGCCACATTGTTTCTAAATTCATGACTTATCCTAAACCTTTGTCCAGAAAGTCTATTATGTTGAGGACCAAATTCAAGAGCCTTTTCAGTAAATGACTTCCCACAGTCAAAATCCTTCCAGCCTCACATTTCCTGGAAGATGTAAACTTGAGCCAGTTTGGATATTAAGTTGTAATTTATGGGAAGTAGCCAAATTAATCCTATTTAATTAAAGGAATAGCTATTTTCTATTCAACCACTAGGGGGGGAAATGACATGCAATACAATCAAAACCAAAAATACTGATTAAATTCCAAAGGAAATCAAACATTACAAAGCGTGTTCTAGGAACTGGCATTTCAAGTCTTTGAACTAAATGATGCCAAATCATAAGCAACAACAAGGGGGTTTTACTAGAGGTATATGCAGCTCTGGTTATTAGAGCTAATTTTCCTTTAATTTCAAATAGCAAAAATCAATCACAGTTAGCTTAAAAATAAAAGACACATCAAGAAGTGTGTAAATTGCACCTATCCCAGTTGGTATGGCTAAGAGATGAATTTTCTGAGAACTGAGCCAGGCTGCAACCAATGTGTCCTACATAAACAACCACCAAAACTAGGTATAAACATGCCCCCAGTATGTCCCTGGCCTTTACCTCAAGGGATGTCTGCAGTTTAGGCAGTCTAATCACGACAAATGCCCTGTGGAGATCTTCAAATTACAATGAAGTAAACACAGTAGCTGTCAGTCAGTGTTTCATCACTGTGACCAAAACACCTTACAAGAACAACTTAGAGTAGGAAAAGTTTGCTCTGAAGAAGGGCATGGCAGAGGAAAGTTGTTCACTTCATAGTAGCCAGGAAGCAGAGTGGGCAGGGGTGGGGAGGAGGGAACAAGATAGAATCTCCAAGGCCATGCCTCCAATAACCTACTTTCTCCAACCACACCCTGCTTGCCTATAGTTACCATCCAGAACAGTCAAACTTTCAATTATCAACCTAGCAAATGTACTGATTCACCAATTAGGTTACAGCTTTCACCTCTGAACATTGCAACATTATCTCACACATGAGCCTTTGGGGGACACCTAATAGCTAATCCATAACATTCATCCCCTGTCCGCCAAACTGAATGTCTATCTCACAAAGCAAAATGCATTTAGTCTATCTTTAAGAGTCCAAATAGTCTTAACGGTTTTAGCAATGCCCAAAAGTGCAAATTTAAAGTCACATCTGAGCCTCAAGACAAACTCCTGGTTGTGAGCCCCCATAAAAGTAAAAAAATATTACATATATCCAACATACAATAGCACAGAGTAAATGTCTCCATTTTAAAAGGGAGAAAGAATGGAATAGAAAGAAGAGATGGAACCAAAACCAGCCAGGCAAACATTAGTTCCTGCAGCAACATGTTTGACATCAGGGGCACATGGCAGTGAGATGTGATCTACAAAAATCTCTGCATTCCTGCTCCTATGGCCTTGCCTGTTTCAGCCCACATGGCCTCTCTCAGGCTAGCTCTCTCCAGAGCTGGAAGCTTTTTCATTTTGGGAGACAGTCCACATTACTAGTATCTCTTAATTTCTAGGGTCTCCATTTTAGCTTCAGCTTTTCCTTGACTGCTACATGCATCACCCTCTCAGGGGTAGCCCACAGGGATTTTGACCCTATTAAAATTTGCCTAACCTTCTAAGCCTTTTCTTTGAAATCTCGGTGGAAGCCTCCATGATGCTCTAACTCTAGTATCCTGCATTCCTGAGGAAACAGCACAGCATGAGCAATGCCAAGGTTTATCACCTGCTTGAGCAGTAGCTACCCCCCACCCACCTTGGATCACAGCCATAGTGGCTTTTGAATCCCTGAGAGACTGAGCACTGTGAAAACAGATTCTGAAGAAATAGCTTTTTAGGCACCCAGGGTGCTCCCATAATGTCTTTTAAAAGGAGTTTTCTCTTTTACACCTTTGACCCCATGATGGGTGTGGTCTTGCTGATTTTGAAATGCCCTCAAAGCATTGTCTACATTTCTCTATAATCTCTCTAACAACCCACCTTTTATGGCCCCAGTTTTATATGTACATTTTTGTCTAAACTGCAAGTGTTTAAATTTAGTTTTCTGGTTTTTGCTCCTGGTTCTTACAGTAAAATGGATAAAATTTTGTCAGCAATACCCACACCACCACCTGAATGTTGTGTTGTCTTGAAATTTTCTCTGCCGGATTGATTAGTCCATGACCTTTAAATTAGGCTTTACAGAAAGTCTCAGCACATGAGCGAAATACAGACAAGTCTTTTTGTCAGAATGTAACACAAATGGCCTCTAGCTTAATTTTTAGTAGAATACCTGGTCCACTCTAAAACCTCACAAGCCCGGTCTTTACTGTCCACATTTCCTTCAGCATTTTGGTCTTTTGAGTTCTAACCAGAATCACCTACTAAGCACTGTTTACAATATTTTAAGACTTTCTCAACCTGAATCTCTTAACTTTAAAAAAATAAAAATAAAAAAATTTAAAAATATAAGACTCTTTCTTCAAACCGGTTCCAAAAACTTCTTAACCAAATGGTCAGACTAGTCACAGCAACAACCTCGGCCTGCCACCAATTTGTGTGTTAGTCACCTTATCATCATGGTGACCAAAATACATGACAAGAACAACTTAGAGGAGGAAAGGTTTTTTTGAACTCACGATTTCAGTCCATAGCCAGCCAACTCCATCACTCTGGGCCTGTGGTAATGTGGAGCATCATTACAGAATGGAATGGTGGAGGTAAGCTGTTTTACATGGTAGCCAGGAGGCACTGAGAAAGAGGGAGGAGCCTGGGGACCAGATATAATCTCTAAAGGTCTGCCCTCAGTGACCTACTTCCTCCAGGCACACCCCAACTGTCT